TTTTTATTCGGGCTACTTAAATTTATTTTGGGCTACCAAAAACTGAAGAGTCCCTGCCCGAAGGGCTACCAGGGATTTTGAAATTTTGCGAGCCCTGGTTTAAGATTGCAAAACTGAATCTGAACAAATCACAAGACAGGGGTGTCAAACCAGAGATGGCTACTTGCACTCGCGACTTAGACTCGAGTCACAGTTAAGTTGCAAAAACCAAAGCCTTCAGACTTGAGACTTAGACTCGAGGGTTGGGGCTCGAGTCTTGAGAAACATTTTTTACCCATGTAAATACGGTAACTGTAGGTTATTTGGATAGTAACGAGATGTACACAGCAATTTGTCTCTAATATTTAATAAAATGTTTTGAATATGCTAATAATTTGTGAATTTTTGTTTTAAATTTATCATTAATTATGTGAAGGTTGTAAGGAAGACATAGTCCAAAGGTTTCATCATACAGGATTTCACTGTATAAATGAAGTGTTTCTTAAATCTTTGTTGTCCAGATATTAAATATATATATTATAATATAGATATTAAAGTGTCATTTTTTCAAACGATAACCAAGGAGAGATAGCAGCAGCAACAATGTGGCAAAGACTATTAAATAATTATACAGACCATTATAATTACAATTACATCCAGCCCTGAACTCCTCATAGATTACAAAAATATTCCTTTTCATATGACTGACTCAAGCTACGGTGCTTGACAGCTGGAATGAGGTGTGGTTGCCAATATTCAGTGTCTGCTTTTGATCAGACATAGCACTGTAGATTATGGCAAAACATCTCCACTTTGGTTTTTGCTGTCCAAAGGATACTGCTCCAGAAATCTTCTGGCTTGTTCAGATGAACTTTAAAAAAAAAAAACCTAAGCTATGCTAACATGTTCTTTTTAGAGAGCAACCTTCCAAATAAGCCATATTTGTTCAGTTTGGGGTTTTTTTTTCAAATTGTACTGTCAGTAAACTCTGGGTCTCCATAGCATTGTGATAACACGTACCTTAATACTCAAGACTGCTACTTTTATAGAGATGGTAACAGTTGATAATCATGATCAGTGAGTGAATCAAGTGGATTTAATTAGCAGCATTTGGGGCACTTGGAGTAATTTGTGGATTGTCATGTAAATTCTCTGCTGGTCAGTAAACATTGTAGAAACTGTGTAAATAAACTTAAACACTTGTGTGCCAGGTGAACATATGAGGGGTTTCATAGTGGCAGTGTGCTGAACTGTGACTGACCTTGGGGGAGCAAATGGGACTGGCAGATGGGGAGCGAATGGCACCTTTGTTGATAAGGTCACGTCGTGGTGGGACAGGTGGGAGGCTGAGGTGCTGGACACACTGGCTGGAGTTTCCCCCATGGGCTTTTCTGTGTTGGCTGACAGGTGAAGAACTGGGCGACACCATTGGCGATTTCTGATGCTCGCCACATTGCTAAGGGAAAAGGTAAATAAACTTTAAAAAAAAAAAAATCTTAGTCGTTTATTACCAGTTCTATCCTGATTAGAGACTGCTAGAATCCACATTCTTTATAGGGGATAGATGGAAGCAAATCTACACCACTTTAAAATGTGGTAAAATGTTATTTCCCGTTTTGATTACCTGAGATTATGCTCTCGCCACTGTTCCAGAAGTGATGTATCATAGCCAACATAATGAGAAGGTTAGATATAACCTAGAGCTCAGTATTCTATTTTCAATAGTACTGTACTATCTATCATCAGCTGTCATGGGGCAAAAGGCAGAGTACAACCTGGACAGACTGCCAGTCTGTCACAGGGTTAACACATAGAGACAGATAAACATTAACACTCATGTTCACACATGCTTGGCCAATGCTCTTTTTTGGACTGTGGAAGTAAGCCTTGGAATCTGCAGTTGTTTAGAAATGGCTCAAATGGCTCCACCATCCTAACTTCTGTAAATTTTATAAGTCTCCGTCTTAGCGTTACTACCAATTGTAGTCAATGGTTATGACTAACAACCATAAGAAGATGTCATCAGATGGTGTCAAACCATCAGCAGTTTTTTTAACCATGAACCACAATGCTTTTAGCTTGGCTGGTCAACAATGACAGCCAGTCACTGCTCATCTTCTCCTGGTCCCCAGCTACCCTGTTCTTTGATTTCTCCAGTGCTTTTAACACCATTCAGCCACGACTTCTGAGGGACAAGCTGGAGCTATCAGGAGTGGACCACCACGTGTCCCAGTGGATACTGGACTACCTCACAGGACGCCCACGATATGTGAGGGCACAGGGCTGTGTCTCTGATATGCTGGTCTGCAGTACGGGGCCCCCACAGGGAACTATGCTGGCACCATTCCTCTTCACCCTCTACACTGCAGACTTCTACATCAACTCCCCACGCTGCCACCTACAGAAGTTGTCTGACGACTCTGCCATAGTCGGCCTCATCACAGGTGAGGATGACTCAGGCTACGTCCACACTAGCCTGAATAGATTTGAAAAGGTGAAAAGGTCTGAAAACGCTCTGCGTCCACACTTTCAGTCGTTTTCACAGAGATGTGCGTCCACATTGAAACGGCCGAAAACGCTTACGTTCAAGCATTGCACGTGCGTGAAACACAAGAAGATTCGGCCTGCCTCATTTCTGTCTGCCCTTTATTTACTTTCCGGCTCTTTGAAACGTCACGGCAAACTGTCGAGGAAAAGCACCAGGTTTTTTAAATGGACTAACAATGAGGTGGAGTTGTTGCTACGAGTAACACAAAATTACAAAGTTGCAAAAGCGAGTGAGAATTAAAGAATTTGAAGAAAAGCTATCTGAAGCATGTACAAACTGATATTAATCTTTAATAGGGCTGTCAAAATTGAGAGCAAACAAAACAACTGCTGTATAATGCCCTCCGCTATCTTTGTTTAATTGGTCACATGACTG